GGAAGGTCATTCTAGGTCAAGAGATCAATTCAACTAATGTTGGCTAGGGGCTTGCCGTGAGCCGCGCCCCGTGTCAACATCTTCCGTGTCTCATTTACTTTTCACATCCCCTGACTCGGTAAATAAGGGCTAACACTGACATCTCCACGTGTTTTCCACGTAGGAGCCACTGCAGCCTGCTTAAAACCCTCTAAAGTGACTATTACGATCATTACTCCTGTTTTACAGCTGGGAAAATCGAGACCCCGAGACCCCAGGCTACCTGCTTAGCAAGTGATGACAGCCAGAATGTCCTCCCAGTCTGGCTCAGGACTCCAGACTTTCTATTTATTCCTGTCCCCACTTTAAAAATGAAACACCAAGAATCCCTGTCATGTGCCGCGGTCCCACAGCTGGCTCTTAAGGCCCTTTGCTGCCAAGACTCAAACTCAGGGCCATGGCTCCAAAGTCCCATGATCATAAGCCATGAATGTAGAAAATGCATCTGAGATGCTAATGTGTTTTTTTTTTTCTTCACCAGCATCAATATCTAATTTGAATGCTTTTACAGGAAAAGTTCTTAAATCAAATCTGAAACAACAGGCAGCTTTCAAAGCTGGCAGGCAGAGACTAGATTTTACTTACGTCCACCTATTAGTGGGCAGAGAGGAGACCTGGGCTGAGCGAGGAAGGGTCCAGCCGAATCAAGGACCAAAGAATCACAGGTAAGTCTGCACAATGCCTCGGGGAGGGTATCTGGAAGAGCCTGCCAGGGTCAGGGGTCGGGCGGTGGCCTTGGGCAGTGAGTGACTGACTCCAACCCAGTGAAGACCCGGAATCTCCCGGGAGCTTGTTAGAAAAACAGTCGTGTGAGGCTAAGCCCCGGAGATCCGTCAGGGTTCAGGAGGTGGCCCAGGCACCAGTATCTTTAACAAGCTCCCTGGGGACCCTGGTCCACAGGCAGGTCTGGGAACTGCCGCTAGTGGAACACGGGGGAAAGCTGGGCCCAGAAAACCAAAGTAGAAAGTGTAAAAGAAAGGGAAAAAAAGCAAGATTCTGCCTGTTTTGTGGCTCAGCAAGAGCAGCTGAGTCGGGCAGAGATGCCGCGTACTGCAAATCTCACTATCCATCCGGTCATCACCTGTTCATGAATCTCTACATTAATAAAAGCGGTCGTTTACTGGGCCCAATTACTCGGCCCCAGGTCCTTTATGTGGATTATCACAGAGTCCTCACAATCACCCAATGATATTAGGTATTAGGCACCCAATTCTGTTACCTAATAGTATTAGGTACTGGTACAGCCCCTTTTTACAGATGAGGAATATTAACCAGAGAGAGGAAACGGCTTGTCCTCAGTCTAGGGCTGTGGGGTGTGACACTGGGACTCATATCCAGTAGTGTACCTTGGGGACGCGGAGTGGGTGCCAGTGTGTGCCAAACTCAGCCGGGCACATTGAGCTGGGCACAAAGAGGACTCCAGGCCTGGCCTGAGCGTGCAGGGCCATCAGCAAAACTGAGGCGTGGCAAGAGGGAATGACTGTGGGGCCGTGGGAGCGCGGAAAGGACGGTGAGCACGTCTGAGCAAAGAACTACGAGGACAGAAGGAGCAGCTATTGGGTGTGGGGTCAGCTTCACTGGCGGGGCTCACATCTGGGCAGCTGTTCATTTACTCAGCCGAGAATGAGTGCTTTGTGCCCAGTGCCTTGTAGGTGCCAGAGATCCAGTGGTAAACATGAGGGGTGCAGCCCCTGACCTCATGTTGCTGATGGTGCAGTGATGGGACAGGCCTTCAGTTTGCCCCACAAATAATGATTTGACTGCGGGGACCTTACCTGGTCTGGGAGAATAGTGGTGTGTGCGTGTGTGTGTGTGTGTGGGGGGGGGGAGGTGTCAAAGAAGGGGGGTTTGATGAAATGCCTTTAAGCTCAGCTCTGATGTATGCGTAAGAATTACGTCAGTTCCAGGCAGAGGGGACAGCACATACAAAGGCTCTGAGGCTGGAAGAAATGAGGCTCATTTGGGAAACAGGAAGAAGTTCATTATGCAATTCAGAGGGGAGGGAAGGGGAGGGTCCCAAGATCAAGCCAGAGACTTGGGGTGTAGACAGTCATGAACCTTAAAGCCTGGAGGTTGAGTTGGCATCAGCCCGGCAAAGGCAGGAAAGGCATTTCAGGCAGAGGGAACAGCATCAGCAAAGGCTCAGAATCTAGAAAGACAGAATGATCACCAATAAAGTGTGGGCCTGAAGCCTCCTCACACTGGGGCATTGGGCTATAGGCTTCACGCCCAGCGTGTGGGGTCACCGGACATCTGTTTTTGAGGACAGGAAACACAAAGCTATGTCTTCAGGGAGAAGACCATTAGGGTCAGCGCTGAAACATGTAAGTCCCTGGGCTGTCCTGAACTTGTGAGGGGCCTTGGCCACATCTCTTCCTCATTTGCAGCTTCACTGTGTCCAGCTGTAAACTGAGAAGGTCATACCAGGCCCACCTCCAAGGTGATTTTTAGTTTTAACACTTTTTTGGGTTTTTTAAAATTTTTTTTATTGGGGAACAGCCATGGTCACTGGTTACACATGGCTTTCATGCTACAATGGCATAGCTGACTCTTTTAAGGAGGGCGCAGCTCACAGTGGCCCATGTGGGGATCGAACCGGCAACCTTGGTGCTATCAGCACCACGCTCTTACCAACTGAACTAACCGGTTACCCCTAATTTTAACTTTTTTTTTTTTTTTGGTGACTTCCTCTAAGATAATTAAGATAAACTCAGGAGAAAGTGGGGAGGCCTCCAGGCGTTCCTATGAAGGTTTGTGAGGCCATCACTTCATTAGATTTCAAAGTTTTAGAAACTCAGCAGAACCATGACGGTGGATGCATGAGGGAAACAACCACAGAACTTTGTTTACTGCCCAAAAAACTATCAAACATCACACCAAACACCATCATTTCTCCGCTCCCCAGCTCCACATTCGCTATTTGGTAAATGCTGGCTGAGAATCAGCTAGAAAAAGCTGGTGTGCTCACTCAGGCTCACAGATGGGTTTTGTCTGGCCATGGAAGTTTTAAAATTTGGGACATTTTTACATTTTTCAGCTTCTCTGAAAAAACCCAAGTATCAAACTGACGGGATCCAAAGAGCATCTCCCTCCGCTTCTCCCAGCCCCCACCCTTCCTTAAAAGTTACACACCGCTTACGCTTCCGTGTGCAACATCACCTGCCTCGTTCCTGTTCTAGAAGCTTTCCTTAAATGTAACACTATATCAGTATGCAAAACGGTGCTTTTGACGTTGACCTCGAGGATTGTTCTCCGTATGCAGAGATCTAGCTCCTTTTCAACTGTCTGAATAATAATCCACTGTCTGAATCTCTGAAAAGTACTTATCTGACTTCCTCTTGGTGTGTATACATCTCAAACTTCCACTTACTTCGCAGCATATACTAGAAACGAACACCCTCCTACATTCGTTTATCAAGTTTTATAGGATAAGTGCCTGGAAGTGGACTTCCTGGGTAAATGTGTTTATGCACATTTTAAAATGTGAAAGATTCCAAATGTAATATTTAAGATTTGGAAGATAATCACAAACATCCCCAGAAAGGGAGAGCGGTATCCTTGCCCTAAGTCTTTTTTTTTTTTTAAGAGTTTTATTGGGGAATTGGGGGGATGGGAACAGCACTGGGGAATTGAGGAAGGGGAATAGACAAGTTGCTGTCCTTTTGTTCTTCAGTCTAGTTGTGGAGGACGTTGCTTCACTGGCCCAAGTTGGCACCATCATTGCGCTCTCCCCGGGCGAGGCAGATCAGTTGCCGGCTTTTGGACGTCCGCTCACTTCGGCTGCTGGCCGCTCATGCTGGCTGCTGGCTACACATGGTAGCCCATGGCAACCCACTGCCACAGGGGCTGCAGCCTACGCCGTCGCCGGCGACTCACAGCAGCCCAGCTCCAGGTTGAGCTGTTGTTCAGCATCTTAGCTGTAGAGGGCAGTGTCACTGGCCCTCACATGTGGGATCCGAACCGGGGCCCTCTGGCGTCCCAAGCCAGCTCTTAACCATGGCGCCACTCGGCCCCCTAAGCCTTTTTTGAGCTGCATTTTTTTAGTTACGAAGGTGATAGAGCATCATTTTATATTTAGTGTCCTCTTGTTGTATGCCATCTGGCTTTTCCACTTGGTTCTTTTTCTCTACTTTTATTGATTTTAGGGGTTATTTACATGTGAGGGACATTCGGCCTTAGGCATACAGACTGCATTTTTTTTTCCGGTTGTTTTTAGACTTTTCAATAGATTGTTTTTACTTTGGAAAACCTGCAACTTTATTTGCAGCCACATACATGATTTTTTTTCGTTTTTTGGGGGGGCTGGGGAGTGTCTACAACCTGTCTTCTTTGGTAGGTCCATTAAAATATATATATTTTAATCTGAACATTTGAATGCTTTTAGCTAAGGAATACATCCTCCAAGTCCCCACAGGACCCAGCAGTGTCTGTACTATCTTATAAATGAATTACTTCATACTTTTTAAAGTTATCTGTCTGGTCCCTTAAGACAGATTATATAAGTATATATACAGATATATATGTGTGTGTATGAGGGGAGACATCAACACCTGTTTATAGATTTAAAAACAAACCCCTATGAGTTTTGTCCCTTTACACAAATAATGCAAATTCAGGGATCACACACATACGCCCATGACCCAAAATAACCATCTTTTTTTTTTTATTGCAATGTATTTCCCGCAAGTATTTTTTTCTTAGTATATAGGTTTTTGTTTTAGAAACCTGCTTTTTGTTTGTTTGTTTGTTTAACATGTGACATTTATAACTGCTAACACTGAATGTTTTAACCCCGCAGTTCCCAAACCTGGTCAGGCAGCTGTTTTCCCAGGGGACCTTGTTAAACATAACGAACCAGCAACCCGAGGGGGTGGATCCTGGGAATCTCTAGTTTTCACAAGTTCCAAGGAGGCATTTGGGACACAGCCAACTTTAACGGACTCCCCACCCCCCAGGCGTACCTGTGATTGTCTGGGTCTCCGAGGTGATGGTTCTGGTGGTGGTCTGTGTCTGGGTGGCAGGCACCGTTTCCTCAGATACGAACTGGACTGTGCTGGGGGCCGCCCCGGATGTGCTGGTCAGCTGGCAGCCGCTCTGCTTATGAGCCACAAAGGCATCGAGGTTGTTAAACTGCTGCTTGCAGATGCCGCAGATGTGGATGTCGGGAGTCAGCTCCACCAGCACCGTTGTGCCACCTGGAACTCCATGGGACAAAAGGGAAAGTAACAGATTAATTCCAAACAGCCTGAAATGACAACACAGCCAGATCCGTGGAAGGAAGAAAGGGCGCAGTGGCAGACAAGGCTGTTCGCCGGCCCAGCGTCCATTCTATTTTCCTCTTCTTCCTTGCAGCCAGAATCCCAATTCTTTCCTAGCAGCAACGTCCCCAGACCTAAGTGATGGCTCCTAACACATTTCTGTCCATAGGGGCACTAGTGGCATTTTATGCAAGAACATTCTTTGATGTGCAGGACAGCCCTGCACTTCTAAGGACCAGCAGCCATCTGCTACCCCAACTGAAAGGTAGCTGCACTTCCCGGTCATTATAAAAACCAGTCCCTCCACATTTCCAAACCCTACCCCACCCTCACTGTAAGAAACACTAGTATAAACAACCTTGGTTCCCTACATACTCGGGAAACCCTCCAGCACAATGATAACAGCTTCTGGAGAAAGTTTGGCTTTTATGATAAAAAGGGAACAATCAGCCTTGAATGCAGGTGTGATGCCAGGGGCTTCTGCAGCTATGTTGGAACTATGAGGAAAATGTGAAGATCCCTATAAATGCTGGTCTTTACCTCACTGATCCCCTGAATCAGCCAATTCCAGACTTGTCATTAGGCTAGCCTAGTTCCGTTTTGTTACTTGCAGCCAAAATCCATTCCTAACTGATAGGGCTATTATTTCTCAATAATAATGCTACCAAGAGTTAATACTGTGTTAACATTTGAAAAGCACTCACCACAGTATCTGGCATTATATTAGAAAGTGCTACATAACTGTTTATTAAAGAAACACCACTAAGTAATACATCTCTAATATGACAACCTTAAGTTTTCTTTTTAAAAGTTTATTTGCCTCATTATAAGGAGACTCATGTTTATAACAGAAACTTTGGAAGAGAAGCAGGGGAAAATCACTCACAATCTTTTTGTAAAAATTTTTTTAAATTAAATGTATTGGTGACAATGGTAAGATTACATAGGTTTCAAATGTACAATTCTATACTACATCATCTGTATATCACAGTGTGTGTTCACCACCCAGAATCAGTTCTACACTCACAATCTTTCAATGTATGTGTACCAGGAACATTACAAAATATTTTCTTCCATTCATCTTCAATTAAACATTGCCTTTAATTGAAAATTGTTTAAGATCATAATGTACTGTAAAACTCATCCTTTCCCTACATAATATCACGTACACATTGCACTACATCTCTAAACTATATTTATAAAAATATTTAATAATAACACATATTTCATGTTACCCATGCTTTATAATTTTCCCAGTCACCAATAAGGTCTTTATACGATTTCCAATTTCCCCCAAGTCTAAATAATGTGAGAACTACTTTGTGCGTATATGGTTGGCATCCATGCATCATTGTTTTCTGAAAATTTATAAAATGTTTACATTATGTTCAATATCCCCCAAGTCTAACGAAGACAAGAAATCTCTGTTTTGAAATACGCGTTGGTAGACCTGCGAAGGAAAAGTGCTCTGGGCTGAGCATGGTAACGTTTTATCAGCCCAAGCACCCTGGGCACTTAAGTACTTTGAAATCAATGGATGGAAGGAACAAAGACTTTTTTTTGCCTCTGGAACCCTGCCTCCCTGGAGCTGCTGAGGTGCTCATGGGACTGAAAGGATTTCTTAACGATCAGACAGGACTGATACCCAGGATGAAATGGGGAGAAGTTTCCGCTTCACAGTGTGGTTATGAGGGTTCAATGAGATGGTGCTTGTAAGAGGCCAGCACAGGGGTCCCCCCCTCCCTCAGCATGTCTCCCGGAGGGGTTATTACTGAGGTACCCTATTTGAAATTGAAAGTATGCCCCTCTGAACATTTGGAAGGATAAACTTTACCTACCTCTGGCGCTTGTCGAGAGAATGAACTGAGACCAAATAAACACTGGGCACAGTTTGTGCCCACCACCAACAAAAAGAATTCCTTTATCTTTGCAAAGTTCTCCAAACCTGAGTCAGCATCAGGAAAATCTGGGGGGTGGGTGAGGGTGGGTAGGGGTTAACCATGGACACATCTGGGTCCCACCTCCGAGATGAGTCATAAAGGAGGTGGGATGAAGGGGCATTGGGGTTTAGGGAAATCTGTGCTTTTCACAAATTATGCAAGGAATACCAAGACAAGTTTGGGAGCCAAAGTCTCCCAAACTGTTACCAGTAACAGCTAACAGTCTAAGCGCTTACTATGTGCCAGGGGTCTGCCAACCCTTGTGCCAGGGATTCTCAAACTTTATGTGTGTCTGATTCACCCAGGGAAGGCAGGCAGATCCCTCTGGCCCCCATCTCCACCCCGTTCCCCAACCTGATGGGTGGGGCCCAGAGAGCTTTATTTACATTTTTTAAAATAAGCCCTCGTGCTCCCAGGTGGTTGGTTTGCACTCAGTCCCTGGACCACATTTTGGGAAACAATGCACCAGGCGAAACCAGGGACTGCTGTCCCCCTCAGGAAAATATAAATGAACCCCAAACTCAAAGAAAACCACCAAGGCCGATCCGTTCCCCATTCAAAGCTCCTCCGCCTTTAATGTAGAAAAGGCTTTGCAGTAATAAGGCGGCAAGCCCAGCCAGACAGACCTCGTTAGACACTCCGATCCCCAGACTTCAAGGATTTGGGACCACCGAGGCAGAAGTTTTCCCACCAGCGTTGCCACGGTTACCTCAAATCCACCCCCCCAACTCCGCTGGGGGGCGGGGGACGTCCCGAGTGGGTGGCGATTGTCTGAAAGCAAGCCCTCCCCCACCATTCCCTTCCTAGGGGTCTTGCGAGGCTGGAGAGAGCCCCCCGCCTTGTGCCAGGTTAAGTGCCCCCACTCCAGCGTCCCCTGCACGGCGCGCCCGCCGCGGTCCCCGAGACACCAGCTCCGGGCCGTCACCCCGATTTCGGGGCCCCGGGCCTGCTCACTGCGTCGCAGACGTGCTTGGGCCCGGGCCCCGGAGCGCGCACTGCGCCCGGAAAAGCACTTACTTTGCACGGAGCCCGGGAAGCTCTCGCCCTCGCTGCTCGCGTTCATGGCCGCAGACTGGGAGGTTCCCTGCCGGCCGGGGTGCTAGGGTGGGGGGCTCTGGTCTACATGGTGCAAGGACTTTTCCTTGTATTTTTCCACACCCCCCAGCCTTCCTTCTCCCAACTCTGCGAGGCGGGGAGGACGGATGTAAAGCAAGCTCTACTTCCGCTGCCTAGAGGGCGCTGGCCCGGCTCGGCCGCTCCAAGCTGGCTTTGCATCAGCGGCTCCCGGGGGAAGCTGCGGGCTAATCCCGATGCACGGGCCGTGCAGCCCAGGACTCGCGGAATACCCGGGGATCTGGAAGGCGCACATGCGCCCGGGAGGGTAGGGTGGCCGCGGGCGGCGAGGGATGCGTCCCCGGCCCGCACCCCTGCGGTCTTGGCCGACACGTTTGGCCTCCCAGGACCTGGTGCCTTTGCACCTGCCACCCTGGGCGCCTGGTCCCCGAGGCGGGTCGGTCGCCGGGGTGGTTTGCAGAGAGTACAGTGTCGGGCTGCAGCTGGTGGGTGGGTGCCCGGGGTGCGGTGGGCTTAGGAGAAACCCGGCTGAGCGTTCAGTGCCCACCCCATCAGCCGAGCGCTGGGCTGGTCTCCCTCCCTGCCCAGCTAGTTAAATAAAGAGGACCGTGGTCACGTGGATGATAAGACGAACAACTGGGACCAAACGCTGAAGGCCCCCTACTCCAGGGGTCTGCCACCTTTACCGTGCACACAGCCACCTGGAGGGCTTGTTCGAGCAGACTGCTCGGCCCACCCCAGAGTTTCCGATTCAGTAGGTCTGGGGTGAGGCCCGAGAACGAGCATTTGTAAGTTCCGCGGGTGAAGTCCCAGAGGTTGATGGACCCTCCCCTCCCTCATCTGTCCCGCTGTCGCGACCTCTTCTCATAGAACCCTACCCTGCCTCCATCTTCAGCCCCAAGTTCTCTCTGTCCTCTAGGCTTTTGCCCTTAAAGCTGTTCCTTCTGTACCCACTTGCCAACCTCCCTGACACCTTCAGGTTTTGATTCAAATTCACATTCTTAGAGAGGCCATCCTTGACCGGCCCATCCTAAAATTGCAGACCCCTGTCCCCGCACCCAAACACACCTAGTCTCCCTCCTTTGAGCTCCATCTTTCTTCTTAGAACTTATCACATCTAACATTATACATCTGGAGTCTATCTGTCCATCTAACTACCCATCTGTGCGGATAGATAATAATTCAGTTGTGTATTGCTTGTTTCCCCTCCCCCTTACATTCAACACGTCCCCATGAAAGCGGGATTTTGTTGGTAAATCTCTGCTTCACTGCTATATCCATCCTCAGCAACTGTGGCCTAGTGCCCAACATATACCAGGCTCTCAGTCAATAGGCTCGTTTAACTAATGGAATCGTCCCTGCTGCTTCCTTAAGGGTTTGTTCCTTTCTTCAGCAACTATTTGTTTGTAAACGTTTGCAGTGTGCCAGGCACTGTGCTGGCCCCTGGAAGTACAAGGGGGAGCCACACGATAACAGAGCTTTGTTAGTGGCTCGCAAAGCGGCCAACACTAAATAATCATATAAGTACCGTGCACTAACCGATTGTGCCACTGGAGCTCCAACACTAAATAATCAGATCAGCTGAAATTTCTTGATAGTGATAAGGTCTCCAGAAGGCGTAAAACAAGGATGTGATGATGGCTGTGGGAAAGGTGAAGGCGGGCCTCTCTGAGCAGGTAACGTGTGTGTGTGTGGGGGGGGCAATTTCAGCCTGAGGAATTGATTGGCAGGTGCAAGAGCCCCGAGGCAGGAACTGGCCTTTGCCCACCAGTCCCACTGCTTGTCTTACCACTTTCCTCCTGCTTTGCTCAGACAAGCCCAGCTTTCTCTGCCCCTGGGGCTCTCTGTATCTGCTCCTCCCTCTGGGGGTTGCTTTCCCTTGTTCCTTGCAGGACTGGCTCCTCTCTGTCTTTCAGGGCCACATGGAATGTCAGCTTCCCAGGGAAACTGTTCCTGTCTCTTATCTAAAGCATTTACGGCCCCTGGTTCTCGCTGCTGCATTACGTATCTTCAGTATACCTATCCCTGGCTAACGTGATCAGAAAGGCACCGAAGTTTAGGGCAATATGTATTTTTTAATGCTTGGTAACTGTTGACATATGTGCTTACCTGAGGAACCCCCAGCCGATCAACATACAGAATAATAGGGCCGGCGGAGTGGCTCAGTTGGTTAAGAGCTCATACAAGAGTGCAAGCTCTGAGCCGCAGCGGTTCAAGTCCCAGCCCGAGATGAGCTGCTGCTGAGCTGCCAACAGGTGGCAGGATGGCTCAGCTAAAAAAAAAAAAAAGACAGAATATTTCCAGCCTGCATCCCTTCCCTGTCAATGGTACTCCAGCTCCCCAAGCTGTGTGTGTTGTGTGTGTGTATGTATACACACACACACACAACACACACAGATGGTGCCCAAAAAAGTATACACATTTTGAGAAATGAAAAACCTGTATTAAAATTGTAATACTCAATATATACCGATAACAAAAGATGAATACAAGTTACATTTGACTTTTGCAATTATAAAAGGTGCTCAAAGTGGTTACTGTGAACATAATTTTAATATAGTTTTTTCCTTTCTTAAAATGTGTATATATTTTTTGGCTCTCTATATATGTTATATTCATATATTTTATAAAAATGTGATTATAACTTACATGCTGATTTTAATCTCATTTTTTGGTACATGTTATGATCATTATTTTTAAAAAATTACATGGTTGCCTGAGAGCCAACCAACCAGAGACAAATGGTATTCACATTGTTATGTACTGTATGTCTTTCTAGACTTTTTTCCCATAGAAATATGATAGAATGAACCATATGAACTGCTATTTGTCTATTTTTAACTTAAAATTGTCAATTTCATATGGTTCAAATCAATACGCACTCACTATATAATATTACATTTCCAGTAGAGTTTGCTGTATGTGTACCCAATATTGGTGGTCTCTAATTTTCTTAGTAGTAGAATTTCTGATTTGTTGCTGGAAAACAGCTTCCTGGAAAACGACTTTTCCCAGCCTCCCATGCAGCTAGGCATAGCTCAATGACTAAATTCTATTAATGTAAATGAAATGTTGTAATGTAACTCCTAGGCCATCTAAAAATAGCAATTGACATATGCCATTCGCCCCTTTGTTTTCATTTCTTGCCTTCATTTCTTGGAATGAGGATGTGATGGCTGGAGCTCTAGCTGCTATTTTGGACTCTGAGTATGAGGCTATACTCTAGGTATGTTGGGGTGGTGAGGTGGAAGTAGCCCAGTTCACTAACTTCTTTATAGAGCTGTCAACTGGACTGCCTACTTCTGAGCTTCATTTACAGGAAAAATGCACTTTTATCTTGTTTCAGCTACTGTTACTTGTGTGTATATGTGTGTGTGTGGGGGTGGTGTTGCTTTCACACGCAGCTGAGTCAAATCCTAATGAAAGACAATGCTATGTATATTGTTTCATAACTGGCATTGTTTTTGAAGAGTGTTCCCAGTTGGGTTGGTGAGTTAGCATCACCTGGGTAGTTGTTAAATATACAGAACTCCCCAAACCCATTTGCGGAGACTCAGCTTCAGAAGGACTGGTGTGAAACCTGGGCTTCTGTGTGTTTCACAAGCTCCCCGGGTGGTTGTGATGCACTTGGCGTTCACACCTTCTGCTTCCCATTCTTAGTTTGAATGGTTGCCTAATATTTCACTGTAGGGTTGCATCATAATTTATGTGATATGCTACTAGATGTAGTTAATGAGCTTTTAGATATAAGTACAATAGTATACTGCAGTAGCTTTTTTCCCCCCCAATGTGAACACAGTATCTCTATATGCCAGCCATCCCGAACAGAGCTGCCAGAATAATTTGTTTCAACCCAATTTGGAAGGGCTTTGTCTTCCTTTCCCCTTTTCAGATCATTTTCTCAATATGGGTTCTTTCCAGGTGAATTTCTCAGTAAGAATTACGTTTTTAAAAAAGTTAACAGCCTGTATTTGACTAAAATGCTCACGGTTTCTTCTGATTTTAAGTTTTTGACCACTTCTCATTTAATAGGTAAAATATAACTTAAAAATACTTCGTACTGTAACTGACCAAAATTTGTTCCCCAGTAAACATTCTAACAAATATAGTTTCCTGGAGCAATCAGTGGAGGATAGTCCACTAAAATGTAAATTCTCAGGGCAGGACATTAATTTTCTTCCTTGTGGTACACTGGCATCTATAACAGTGCCTGGTGTATGAAAAGTGATGGACGGATGGATGGATGGACAGATGGACAAATGGATGGATAGATGGATGGATGGATGGATTGATGGATGGATGGATGGGTGGATGGATGGACAGATGGACGGATGGATGGATGGATGGATGGATGAATGGATGGACAGATGGACAGATGGACGGATGGATGGACGGATGGACAGATGGACTGATGAACAAATGGATAGATGGATGGATGGATGGATGAATGGATGGATGGATAGTATCAAGGTTCCTTTGGAAGAGAATTATTAAAGCAAACCTTTGGCTGTTACAGAAAAGTATTATCCCCTTTTTAGTAAACAGACAGATAAAAGTGTGGTATGATGACAGAACCTACAAAAATTATGGCTTCCATATAAATTGTATGGTAACTGGCATGCAAATATTTTTAAGCCTCCCTTACTTTTCTAGACAAAGGCTTATAAGGATGGCTAACACAGGGCTTCCCAGTCTCAAAAGCACTTGCATCAGCAGCCTCTTCACTCAAGGTTTCTCCAAATCACTACAGAAAATGGTGGCCCAAGGTTTCAACTAAATTTAACCAAAGCTGGTGCGATGGCCCTGTGTCTATTGCCCTCTGATCCATTCCTTGCCTCTCCTGCTCAGCTCTGCACGTCAGGGCAGCTGACAGCCCACCCCTCCTCCCCACCTGCCTACCCCACCCCAAGTCTGTGTTTTCCAGGCTCCTGGGGCTTCTAGCTTCCTGTTAGGTTTGGCTAATGGGTGGAAGGCAGAAGCCAGAGTATTTCTTCCCCTTCCGCCCTACAGTGGCAGTGGCTGCATCTGCTCTAGCCCCAGATTCCAGACGGGCATGCTGTGGCCTCAGCTTCTGCCCTGTGACTCTGGTTCCTTGTCTCTGAAAACATCACCTCCTCCCTTTATTCCCAGCCTCCTCCCTGGGGAGGAGGGGTAGTGGCTTCCAACTGTTCTTCATCTCTGGGCTGTCTAGCTGTTCCCATTTGGCTTCTGACCTCTTTCATCACCTGTGCATCAATCCCCTGCATTCAATCTACTCACACGCTCAGAGTTGCTTCTCTGTTTCTGGTTGGGTTCTGGCTGACATAGCTGGATTAAGGTTTGTGGGGCTTATACAATAGTTTTCCC